CCCAAGATCCCGAGAGGAGAATGGAGGAGAAGGGATTGCAGCGTGGCCATCCCCCCTGGGGGGTGATTTCTTGCTTCCTGTCTCTCTGTCTCTTTCTGTCTCTCTCTGTCTTTTTGGCGAGCGCACACGCCCTGTAGCAGAAACCTCTCCAAAAAAAAAAAAAGTTAGCTTACCTATTTTCAAAATAAACAAATGATCAAACAAGCAAACTTACTGGTTTTTGTTTGTTTGCTTGTTTGTTTTGCTGCAGAGTATGTGCATTCACCAGAGAGAGAGGGAAAGCAAGAAAGCACCTCCCAATGGGGATGGCCATGCCATGCTGCAATCCCTTCTCTTTCAGTCTCTTCTTGGGATTTTGGGTATGCACACAGATGTGTCCAGTGTGATTTTCAAGCCTGAGGGTCTGGGACTCGAACCACTCAGTCAGCCATGCATGATTCAGCATTTTTCCCCCCATCTAGAAACACTTTATTTCCATATAAGGTTACATCCACAGGTACTAGGGGTTGGAACTTCAACATCTTTTGGAGGAGTCACAATTCAATCTATAATAATGCATAACCAATAACACTGCCATTCCTTAGTTCTTTTACTTTCAGGCCACAGAACAATACATGACCATGGAAAACAGAATACAGAATTTACACACACACAGACACACACACTTTATTTCCATATAAGGTCACATTCACAGAGGTTTTTGCTTTAGGACAGGTGCACTCACTGGACAGAGACAGAGGACAGTGAGAAGAAAAGTAAGAAATCACTGCTGGGGGTGATGGCCATGCTGTAATTCCCTCTCCTCCATTCTCCCCCCAGGCCCATCCTGCATCTTAACCACTACTCTACCTGCTGGCTCCCTATTGGTATTTTTAAAGAGATGTTTCCAAGTTCTTAATTAATGTAGGGTGAATTGGTCCATAATCCAATTCATCAAATTTTGTGTCCTAAAGAGTGTTAGAAAATTTTCTCATATAGGTCTTACGCATATCTTGTTATGTATATTCCTAAGGATATTATCCTTTTCAGTTTCTATTGTAAATAAGGTTCTTTCTTTTGTCTTTTAACAAAAGAAATGTTTGTCTGCATATCTATAAAGCCCACTGGTTTCTTGATACAAATTTTAAACTAACATTTCATATTGTTTGTGGTAGTTTATCATTTGATTCTCTTTTCTGTATATACAATCCTAAAATAGCCTATCAGCGGAATGAAAATTCTATAAACAAAGAAAATATAACAACTGAAAAAATCTTTCTTGGGATCAGCAGATGGTGTAATGGTTATGTTACTGCACTCACATACCTGAATGAGTTTCAAGTACCAGTCCTGGAGGCTTGAAATTCACACAGAGCACATATGTGCGTGTGCCTAAAATCCAGAGAGGAGAATGAAGGGGAAGGAGAAGGGATTGAAGCATGATCAACCCCCCTGGGGGTGGTGATTTCTCACTTTCTGTTTCTCTCTGTCTCTCCAGCAAATGCATGTGCCTTAATAGCAAAAATCTCTTCCTCAAAAAAGAAAATACTTCTTGAATGAATGAATAAATCTCCCAGTAACAATTTTACCTCCTTTTTACCATACTACACATATATACATATATACATACATACATATGTATGTATGTATCTATATATGCATATGCACACACATATATACACACACACATGTATATATATTTTATATATATATAGTATATATATTTGCCACAGGCCATGTGTGCTCATTAAAGAGAGGCAGAAAGAGAGAGAGAGAAAGTAAAAAATCGGTCTCTGGGGGGATGGCCACACTGCAATACCTTCTCCTCCATTCTCCTCTTGAGATTTTGGGCACACATACACACATGCCCAGTGTGTTTTTCAAGTCACCAGAAATCAAACTACAGAGCAGGTGATGTGGGATCTAGCACATTAACCACCACAATACCGCTGTCCCCTTCGTTCTATTTTTTATGTGTGTATTTTTCTATTTTCTATTTTCTTTCTATTTTTCTATTTTCCTCTCTTACCTACCTTCTACTTCCATGTAAAATTTAGTACAATGTAGAACAGTGATTATAACAGACATACCTTGTTCTCCTGGACTTTACTGGGAATTTTAATTTTACCCATAAGATAAGGGCCAGATTTGACACTGTGATACAGATATATTTATCATGTAAGGAAAGCCACCTATCCATAGTCAGATAAATTTTATTTTATTCAAAATTATGCCTGGGGGGACCAGCAGGCAGTATAATGGTTGTATTGCTGGATTCCCATGCAGTCAACCACAATTCAAGTCCCAGACCTGGCAGCTTGAAACTCACACCGGGTGCATGTGCATGCATGCCCAAAATCCCAAGAAGAGAGTGGAGAAGCGACTGCAGTGTGACCATCCCACCAGGGGGTTGGTGATTTCTCA